ATTCACTAGGATAAAAGAGTGTTGTGCAGTGGTGTACATGTAAAATGGTACTGCTTAGGAAGTATACTGTATTTAGTCTTACTCTTGTATAGTTACTGTTTTGGTGGCATTGTGCATGTCGGTTATCTTCATGAAAATGAAAATAAATGGATTTAAAAAAAAAGGAGGGGGAGGGGGGAGGGAGTTCAATATTTCCCACCTTAGCTTCCTGTTTCAGTGGAAATAACGTCAACGCATCATACAAAGCTGTGTGTTCCAACTTCCAAGGCACTTCAGTGGGCCTTTAAGAATCAAACTTCACTGGCTTTTTCATGCTTTTTGTGTTTGATTCACTAAAAGAACCAGTTCATAAGATCCAGTCAGTTTGCTTTTGATATATTTAAAGAATCAGCTCATTGACATTGGTGATCAGATTTCACTGATCACGCTGTATGTTACGGATTCACTAAAATGGTTTTATGCTGGATAGTAATGCAGGGTATTTTAGTATGCAGTAGGAGAACCATTACCAGAAGAGAACGTCATGAAAATAACGTGCTTCTTTAATTAGAACTGGTTCTTGGTTGTCTCGCAGCAGGGGGCGATCATCATGTGGTCTGTGTGGGTCCTAACTCCCTATTACAGTCATGGGGACACTATACTGTCAAAATGCGACGTCCTTCGAATGAGACGTTAAACCAAGGTCTCGACTCTCTGGGGTCAGAAAAAATCCCAGGATTTCTTTTGAAAAAGAGTAGGGGTGTAACCCCGGCATTCAGGCCAAATTTGCCCATTAGCCTCTGTCCATCATCATGGCCTCCTAATCATCTCCATACTGTCTGCTCTCTACCAATAAGCTGGTGTGGGGTGGGGGTTCTGATGCACTATGGCTGCTCTTAACATTATTATTATTGGTTCCCAACCCTACTCATAATCTAATAGGGAGCTTTTTTTTTCTTTTTTTTTTCTTTTTGATACATCCTGGGAGTACTTAGGAGTGTGCACATCTATTGATATTTTATTAGTCTCTATAATATACTGGACTGACCTGATCTTTATTTTGTGTTGTTGGGGTTCTCATGCATGTCAAATTACCCCACCCAGGCAGGTCAGCACAAGCAGTGCTTTGGATCAATAAGAAAGATCAACCGGAGGTCAATAGATGTATGTACAATAATACAGAACAAGGCTTTACTCTACCACAGGATATAAACTGGAGGGATGCTGAGCTCTCATTTATGCCCAGAGCAAAGTCACACATTAGCACTAACTGACTGTTTGCAAGGAGACGCTAGAATTAAGTGATCTCCAGCCAAGCTCATCCTCAGTTTACTGACACCTTTGAAAAGAGGCCTGTGATTAACGCAACATCCAGACAACACAACTATTATTTAGACACAGAGCTCGAATGTGTGCATTTTATTGTCTGTTGCGACTGTGTGGACGTGCCTTTGTGTGGGCGCCGTGTTGTTGTTTGTTGCCCCTTACATTTGTGCGTAAATGTACACATTTGCAGGTCTATTATCACAGCTCATTGATGAATTAACCTAGTGTGTTGAAACACCAATAATCTGTCAAATGAAAAGAATGATTCATCCTTTAATAGAGCTAGTTTAATCTAGAACAAATATTTGGTCATTTTCTCACCCTCAAGTCATTCCGAATCTGTTTGGTTTACTTGTTTTTTTTTTTTTTTTTGTGTGCAAATTTAGAAGACAATTATTATTTGTTATAAAAATGCCATTGAGCTGCAAAAAAATGCCAAAAAAAAAAATACCATAACAGTATTATGTCCATATATGACTCGTTTGTTCAAAGTTTTTTAAAAACCATACAATACAGTAACTTTGTGTTAAAAACAGACTGTAAAAGGCAAAGAGGGTCAACTCTTATACATATGAATGGGAAAAAATGGTGACTAGTCTTGACCATAAATTGAACAAAAGAGCTAAGAAATTCTGGATACATGTGTTGCAATGTTCAACTGTGGCTAAAACAGCACAAATTATGACACCATTATCATATTTTATTTCTGACAAGAAATAGCAAAGCATGACTTGACTTCGAAATCCTGATTTCGCTAGTATATGGGGGCATTAACTAAGTAAAAAGAAATCGTCAGTTTATACCACTAACAAGGCTTAAAATAGCCCCACACTAACACAGTAACATAATGAGGGTCCATACATGCAAAACGAAGCATTGAGAACTTTGAAAGTGTACAGACTGTTTAATATTTTATATAGACAGTTCACTCCGTATATACAGACAGGAGCCATCTTGGAAAACAGTCTCGACAAGTCGAACCACGAACGTCGTGCTGAGTGAGTTTTCAGCGAACTTCTGAACTGTATGAACGGCGTACGGCGTTCGACTTATCAAGACTATTTTCTAAGATGGCTCCTGTCTATATACACGAAGTGAACTGTCTTTATAAAGTATCTTCTTATTAAACGGTCTGTACACTTACAAAGTGTTTTGCATGTATGGACCCTCATTATGTTTCTGTGTTAGTGTGGGACTACTGTATTTTGAGCCTTGTTCGTGGTATAAACTAGCGATTTCTTTTTACTAATGTAAATGCCCCCAGTACTAGCATTGTACGCTAAACAGTTTTTAGAGATAAAACTCTTTACATTCGATTATCATGAAAACAAATCTCAGACAACGATTGACTAGGTACCGATAATTTATTAGACCAAAGGTTCTACTTTAATGTTACTTTCAACATTTATTAATACATTATTAAAATCAAAAGTTGTATTTGTTAACATTAGCTAATGCACCATGAACCAACATAACCAATAAGCAACTGTATTTTTATTAACTAACATTAACAAAGATTAATAGATACTGTATCAAATGTTTTGTTCATTGTTAGTGAATACATTATGTTAACTAATGAAACCTTATTGTAAAGTGTTACCAAAAGTCATATGGTTTTGGAACGGTATGAGTAAATGATAACAGAATTCTCATTTTTGGTTGAACTATCCCTTTAAAACACTTCAGAATTTTGATTGAATTGTTATTCAGTGAAGATTATCTGTCATGATCATCTCCATTAATGCATCCAGTCATTTATAACCGGAGTGGGAATTAAACAAAGCTATTCCTGAATCACGCAGACCAGCATTTCTGATTTGAGTCTGCATCATTAGTTAACCTCAACTGGAGAAAGGTATCTCCCAGCATCAGCCTCAGGCGTGTGAGTGGGCTCTCAGAACATATGCTCGATACACACCCAGGAAAGAACAGCTTCAGCCCACGCACACACACACAGAAGAGTTAAAGAGTGGCATTTCCCTAATGGACACTGCTTCTTTACACGCACGCGCGCACACACACACTCACTTCCTCTCATAAGTATCTTGGCACAGGCCTTTCTCTTGATGCACTAATGATGCATAACAAAACCAAGAGGATTTCATGAATCTATCAAATGCCCACCGTCAGGACAGACAAACCAGTTCTCAGATCATTAATATTCAGTTGTCAGTGATAGCACAAAACAAATTTTTTTTTGTCTTTGGATGCCAATTTCCTTTTAAATTGAGTAAATACTTGTGTCATATTCATTCATTTTAGTCTGTTTTACTAAACATTAGTCTTTTTAACATAAAATTAAACTAAATATTCAAACATTTTATATACTAACTTCAGATTTTTTTATGCTCACCTAGGCTGCATTTATTTATTTATTTATTAATACTGTGAAATATTTATCCAATGTAAATATAAATTAAGTTGAATTAAATTAAATTAAAACTAATTTCTATTTTAATATATTTTATTAATTAATTTGCCAATGCCACTGCAAACCCTTTTCACTTTAAATAGTGAGACAAGCAGAAGAAATAATGACTTCAAACAACCTTTTGCTGGAAATACCCTCAAACAAATGTGTGTTTCAGTCTCTGGTGTGAAAAGATGGAATCTTCTAGAAAATGATCTAAAATGTTGTTCAAATATCTTACAATTTAAAAATAATTATAAACAAAAGATACTTAAAGTCTATAAAGAAGAATGTGAAAACTAATAGAATTATTACAATAGTGATGCTTTCGTTGCTATTTTGGCTGTTGGATCTGTCATTATTTTGTCCTTGTTGGTTTTGTTTATCTATATCATATAAGCAGAATTAGAATTAATAGATAGTAGTAATAATAATAATATTAATTATAATAATAATAGACAAAGAGAGAAAAATGTGTTATAATTGAAGGTAGATTATATCTGGTTTAGGCTTGTCGTATATGTATGTGTATATGCATGTGTATATATATATATTTTTTTTCTTTAAGTTTTCTGTTGTTTGTCATTTTATGTTGGTGAGGTCATCTAATTTGTGAATCTTGTTTACAGGAATGGGGTAGGAGCTTATAAGATTTTTTTTCTTCATCCTACTCCTGTTCTTTTTTGTCATGGAATGTACTTTGTGTTGGTTTGATTTGTTAAATTGTTCTTGTGGTATTTCGTGTTGCATTACCATGAAAAGAGAGAATAGAAAATAAATGAAATTAATTAATTTAATAAAATTATTAATTATATATATTAATTATTACATTATACAATTATTAATTTATTCAAGTGATGGCATAGCTGAATTTTCAGCATAATTACTCCAGTCTCACATGATCCTTCAGTAATAATTCTGACATAATTGTGATATGGCACTGAATATATTTTATTTTATCAATAAAAATTTCTTATAATCAATTTAAAAACAGTTGCACTTAATAATTTTGTACAAACTGTGATTTTTTTTTTTTCAAGTTTTTTTGGGGGGGATGAACAGAACATTTAAAATGAAAATAGAAAACAATATAAATGTCAGTTTTGATCAATTTAATGTGTTCTTCCCAAACTTTTGAACTTTAGTGTATAATTATTTAATAAAAACAAAACAAAAAAATCTTCATTAATGAACATTTTGTTAGCGATTCCCTTATGCGCCTGACGTCACACATACATTTCTGTCTGCTTCTTGTGTTAATTTGCTGTGGACTCAAGAGTCTCACCTTCACTGGAGGATCCCGACAGATCAATGATGACGTACACTTTCCCCTCAGGCTCCAAGTCGATCTGTAGAGAGGAAACACAAAAGCAACCAATCAGAGAACAGCATCTCAATACAGCGTCTCAGCACGAAAGGAAGACTAATTCATCCAGAAGCACATTAACTTTGTGAACACGCTTCGCAAACATCTCATTCAACATCACCTGTACTTTTATCAGCCGATGCCAAAGTTCACGATCCCAGTAATAGATTCCCTCCTTGAATCTCTCTCTACAGGGATGGGCCCCTCGCACACATGCTCACGAACTTCCTGCTCTCTGCCTCTTTTTGTTGTCTCTAAGGATGGAGGGTGGCAGAGAGTTGGCAGGGAAACTGCTTCGGTTTTATAATTCCTTTTCAAACAATTTCCTGCCAGTGCAGCACATCCCCGAGCGACCCACGCAGACCCCACATGGGCCCGACGCCTAGCCGAGATTCGACGCCCACTCGCCATCAACTCCGCGTGGGGGAGAGGAGCTAGGAGAGGATCCAGATCCACTATGTCAGGAAACCACTGCTTAATCTTATTATGCGGAGAGAGAGAGAGAGAGAGAGAGAGAACGAAAATACGGGCCCCGCGGTGCATATGTGGAGGTGGATGGAGATGTCAGAGAGAGAGAGATATCGAGCTGCATTCATAGAGCGTCTCAAAATAGTATAGGCCTGTTTTATTTTTCTCTTCACAGTGATCTAGATCGTCAGGGACACTGCGGACCCGGTGCCAGATCAGCACTACCGGTCTTAGTCCTCTTCCTGAATACAGGAATTAGGACATGAAGAACAGCACAAGCTCTGCAGCAGAAGGGATTTCGCTTGTCCAGATTTCAGTCACAGTTTGTGCCGTGGAGGTTGCAGTTCTTTTGTTTTTGTCCCAAGTTTAACCTGCTCTCTAAGCTAAGGGGAAAAAACCTGATTTATCTCTTAAATCCTAATGAAATCATCCGAATTTGCTGCACTTTCGAAAAACCGAGCCTCTCAAAACCGCCCTCTCGAACGTATCAGGCCATCTACCTGCAGTCCTCTGATGAAATTACAATCAATAGCTTTTAAGGGATAGTTCAACCAAAAATAATAATTAGAGACTTTGGTTGAAATGACTTTGGAGTCATTTTGTGAAGAGCTAATATGATGAACAGATTTAATTTAGACTTTTATTTACATCGAGTCGACACGCATACATAGTGGACATCACATTTGGCAAACATGGAAACTTGTGTGTCCATCTGTAAATAAAAAGATAAATTAAAAGGATAGTTCACCCTTAGCTTATGATTTACTCACCCATGGAAACGTTTGGAAGAGCCCGGACATTTTTTTAATACAACTCCGATTGTATTCGTCTGAAAGAAGAATGTCATATACACCTAGGATAGGGATAGGACTAAAGGGTGAGTAAATCATGGGGTAATTGTCAGTTTTGGGTGAACTATTCCTTTAAGTATGTTCATCATATAAAGCGATTGTATCTCTTCACAAGACTTGGATTAAATCACTGATTCGTTTTATGACACTTTTATATATCTTAGGTTTTTGTTACCTGGACTTTCAATGGAGGGACAGAAACTCTCAAACTTCATTAAAAATATCTAAATTTGTGTTTGGAAGATTAACCAAAGGCGTATGGGTTTGGGATGACATGGAGGCAAGTAAATGACATCAGAATTTTCATTTTTGCGTGAACTATCCCTTTAAATCACTGTAAGACAAAAGTTATGACTGCAAAAGCATTGGTGATTGGTGATGTCATCTGAAATGCTAACAGGGTGATGACATGTCTATTATTCAGCCCCCCCCCCCTCCCCTTCCTGTGATGTCATGAGATTCCATTCAACAGCAGCCTCCTTGAGTGTGTTTGTCTCAGAGGTGCAACGGCCACTAAATTTAGCAGAGGAAGGAAAGGCCACTGCATGTGTGTGAGTGTGAACGTGCAAGGATAGAGCTGTGCTCTAGTCTCCCCGATGACACTCTCCAGGAAACCAGTATCATGCTTTGCTAAACAATGTTGGCAAGGCAGATTTGCTGGTCATGTATGTGTATGAAAGCTCTTTCCAGACGGCAGTGTAGCTAAAGTCATCAAGGTGCACATTTTCTTTAAAAGGATTTGTGTTTAGCTTTCAAGAAAAAAAAAAAAAAAATTGTCCAAACATCCTTCAAATAAGACCGTTTCTACTTTTCCCCTAAACTTTATTTTTTCTTGATCCATTTGCAAATAGTTTTTCTTGATTTAAGTATTAACCTATAGCTAATTATGTTAATGTATGCTTAAAACAATGTTTTTTCAATATTAAATCAATATTTTTGTCTATTTCTCCAATAAAAAAAATAAGATTTTAAATTAAAATTTTTAAAAATTTCAAATTTAAGTTAAGATTTGCCATTGGCATTAGAAACACAAAGAGAAAAGAATTCTTTATTAAAAAATAATTATCTTCAAGAAATACATTTCGTTTTAAAGACTGGGGAACAAGAAAAAACATTGGTTAAGGACATAATTTTTGGCTGGATCTGGAGAGATAAACGGTTGCTTATAAGCATTAACTGAATAATAAATTGACAAATGAAAAAAAAATTCGTTGTCTCTATTTGCATGTGCAAATGCAGGCCAGCAAAGTCTATAAGCAATATCTTGTTCGCTTGATATAGTCTAATAGGCAGACCGCCTGTTTCTTTTGTCCGTCTACTATTTGTATTTTTTTGTGAAGCGACCTTGGGTTCTTTAAAGGCGCTATAAAAAATAAATATATTATTATTATTATGCCACATACATCATTTGAAACGAGGCCAAATATGACAAGAACTCATGTGAAAGAAACAGAGCCTGTGGCATGATACCAGTCTCTCTTATTGCTCAAAAGATGCTGCTATTAAATATCTTTCATAGTAAAACTGGGGCAAATTAAGTCTAAAAAGGTGCATTAACTGCATTTTAATGTCATCTGAATTGTAAAAATATAATGGGGCCCAAAAGTTTGAGATCACTAGCGAAACTGCAGTTATAAAATATGTATAATATAATATAATATAATATAATATAATATAATATAACATAACATAATATAATATAATATAATATAATATAATATAATATAATATAATATAATATAATATAATATAATATAATATAATATAATAAAGTTTTTCACCAAAAATGTTTTTTAAGCATTACAACAAATAAAAGTTCCAGAAAGAGAATCTTACATTTTTCTAAATAATTTTAAGTCATAACATTTCTTTGTATATTTTTCAAAATCCTAAAAACAAACAAACAAACAAACCTTCCATATGTTTAAATGAGATGAATTTTAAACATGGTCTCATACTTCCTCGCCCCACAGTGCATAAGTGCATTACTTAAAAAAAAAAAAAAAGAAAAAAAAATCCTCTTGCTAACTGACACTGGAAAAAACGAATGTAGTTAATCTGTCTGTTAAATGTGTGTCAGAAGGTTGTCAAATGCGTACATGCCAACCATGTATATAACATTTAAGAAATATAGCTTTTATACAATGAACAAGTGAAACACACACACACACACACACACACACACACACACACACACACACACAGATGTACAACAATCTGTCAATCAATAGTGATTTGTCCCTTTTGAATAATGTACAGCAGCACTGCTGCAGAGTGTTAGATTACACACATTACTTGCAAGGAGAAACCATTTCTTACTGCCTTTATAATTTTCTGTGCTGTTTCTTTCTTCCTCTTTCTGTGGCATCTGAGGTTTTTTCTCTCTTTCGGTCTTTTTTTCTCCCCGTTTCATACACAGATCTCATACATACACAGAATGAATATACACAACTTTGCTTTTGAAAAAATGATAAAAATTTATAAATTCTAAATTTCTATTTTGCCATAATCTTTATTTATCATTGAAAAAGAGCTAATAATTATAAATGAAATATTATAGGTCAATGGTTGTATTCTGATTAGAGTATCATTTGCAATGCTTCCTGGGATGTAGTCCACTGCCTCATAATTTAGTACACCATCTCAAACTTCCGCACAAGTCACTGTAGCAGATTCCATACACAAAACCAATTGGATGCTACTGGGGGGTCAAACTAAAGGCATCATATGGATATCATGAGAACGGAACTGGATGTAAAAGAGACAAAATCAGAGAGAAAGAGAGAGAATGGGGAGAAAGGGAGGATAAACCCAAAGATAAGCTGTGGGACATAATCAGCTCCTCTTATGCAACACCCTGTGGCTCAACTTCATCCACACCCACAGCTCAAGAGGCTCACTGGCCCTCCCCTTAGAAAAGAGATATCAGAGAGATCGCTTTAATATCTCGACTGTTTCTCCTAGACCGGCATTAAAGGACATACAGAGAACCGGAGAAGAGTCTCCTGCCTCACAGATTTTCTAAAAGACCAAGATTTGCCAAGATACCAAATTCAATAAATTTCAATATGACCTTTTCTCAAATTCATTCAAAAGACCAAATTATTTGAGAAATACTATCCAACACAATAACAAAGATCAGTTGTCTTACAGAATGGTCTCATTTGTGTCTAGTTTAATTTCTCCTCTATGGAATGTAAGGCAAAGCACAAAATTACAAAATAACACATATGCTGTACATTGTTCAAAGTTGCAACAAGTAGCATTTGGACAGTTTCTGGAAAGTATCTGGGATGTTGGTGGAACATCTTCAATAGTTAATGTGATGACCTAAACCTGTGGTTAGGACACCTGTGAGAACTTCATACATCTGCTAAAAATCACTTCAGGATCAGTTGCTTCACAAATGTGCAAATGCCAGTGTGGTGTGTATTTCGGAAAGCATATCAAGTACAACACAAAGAAAACAAACTCTTGCTCTGGTTACTGTCCTCCAGTGCCTGAATTTGCACCGCTCATTGGCCTTAACTCGCCCTCTCTCGGTTCTAATCACCGCTGTGCAAACAGATACCCACAAGCCACGGAGAACACATGCCACTCACGCTCTCCCAAATGCGCGTCTCCATGGGAAAATGCTTAGCAATGCTCAGGAGTCTAAAAACAA